TGAAAATCACTGAGTTGATTACTTACATCAAGACAAACAAAAACTGTATTACAAGTTTTTTGCTATTGTTTGTTAACATAGACAAATTGTGCATAATCTAATTACATATGTGCTAATTTGCGTAAATACCCAAACAGATCTAAACAGTGGATATAGCAGGTGAAAATGTCTTGTGGAATTTTGTTGACATATAACAGTAAACTATTTAATATTACGGTCTGAATGGAACCCATTTAGGCTACCCATGAACATTAATGCAGGAAGAAGTCCTTTAGAAACCAGCCTTTATTAATTATTATGGCAGAGATGGGGTGTCACAGTCCTCGTCTGCACCAGTCTGTCTTGTCATCTGCACTACACTTCCCAGGATCCTCTTGTCTCCACACCTGAACTCACTCCCGCAATCATCCATCTGTTGATCGTCATGTTCATCTGTATCACCTGTGTCTCCACCCTATTATGTTTGATTCATGCGTGTATTTAGTTGGCCTCTGTTCAGTCTGTCTTTGTCAGTCGATGTTAATGTCTACATGGAGTTTGAGTGTACCCAGTTGCCTGTCTGTACCTGTTTGAATCTGAGTAGACCTTTGTATTAGAGCTTTTGCCTCAGCCTGTTCTGCCTACACCAGACTGTGACATGGGTTTTGGGGCTGGGTCAATGGGACTGTTTCTGGGGGATGAGTCTGAGGGAAGAACAGGAGACCTGGGTAAGGAGAAGGCAGAAGACAAAAGGTTGGTGAAATAAAAAGTGTCTGGATCAAAAAATCTAATAACGTACACAATGCACTCAATGCCCAAACCCCATCTCTGCAATAATAATTAATAAAGGCTGGTTTCTAAAGTACTTCTTTCTGTATTAATGTTCATGGGTAGCCTAATAGGGTTCCATTCAGACCTTAACGATAAGTCTTTTACTGTTATATGTCAACAAGATTAAAAAAAAAAAAAATTCACCTGCTATACCCAATGTTTAGATCTGTTTGGGGATTTATGCAAATTAGCTAATACATAATTATATTATGCACCGTTAACAAACAATTAAAAAAAACTTGTAATACATTTTTTGTTTATCTTGATATAAGTAATCAACTCAATGATTTTCATGATGATATCTAAATTTTAAAAATTTTACCCTATTCACGTGAGAAAAAGAATGAATATGTGTATGAATGGGACATATTTTGGTCTTTTTTCTAAACTGGGATTCTTCGGGGCTTTTTTTTTCCTTACTCAGGACATATTGAGGTTACAAAATCAGTTGAGCTTCTGTTGCAATTTGTTCAACCTTTTTTTCATAAAATGACTGGACTAATTTGAAAAACATTGAATTGCTTAATCAAAGTCATGTGGTATGACCAACAAGCAGAAATAAATACAAAACTGGAAATTATGTCATAGAGAAGATCCCTGCAGACCCTCATGATTATGTAAATAAGTCTCTTAAAATATGAGGTTTTAAAATGTCATGTTGTGTGACTCCACAAAACCTTTTAATGAATTATAAATTAAAACAGCATATTTGTAAAAAAAAAAAAAAAATACATTTAAAAAATATGTTAATAAAAACATGTAAAAGTATATTAATAATGTTTAAGATGTGTATACATGTTATTCAAGGTATAAGGAAAATAGGGTGAAATTTTTGACATTCATTAAATTGAAATCATTCAATTCAAATTTTAAATGCTGTAAAAAGTTTTCTAAAACATGAACACCATGAATAGTACATTTCTAATAACTTGGAACACGTGTTTTTAGATTTTAAAAGATTTGTCCTTTTCTTTATCATTGACCTTGCTGTCTGTTTAGAAAGAGGGTGTACATGTCAAGGTTTATCACCAGATGAGTTATTTGAAGAGGTCAAAAAGCAACAACAAAAAACACCCTCAGGTTTTAGGAAACCAAACAGAATGTTGATTGTTTGCTTATGGGGATGGTTGCATAAACCTCTTACAAGTTAAACATCAAAGTTTTTTCTTTAACACTGTTCATATTTTTGTTAAATCTGTAACATAAAAACATAACCTCTTAACATAATGGATATGTTTATGTAACCGGCCCCAAATCATGCTGACTAACCCTTTCTGTATCTCTCCCAGGTGTCTAAAGAAGTACAGGAATATATGCTACATGTTTGCTGTGGGAATGGAGGGACTATGTTGTCTTTTTATCCCCCTTTTACGTACATTTCACTTGCTGGTACCTTTCTCTGTGCTCTATGGGTACTTTGATGGAGCCTATGTTGCCCTAATTCCTGTGGTAACGTCAGATGTTGTAGGCACAGCATACCTCTCTTCAGCTCTCGGGGTTGTGTACTTCCTCCATGCTTTTCCCTATCTGGTCAGCCCACCCATTGGAGGTAAAGGCCTCAAATTATTTGATTGTGATAGGTCAACTATCTGGAATGTAAAAAAAAAAAAAAAAAATTAAACAAAATTGTCGCTTTGTAATGACGTGCCCAGTTTAAAGCCAAACCAAAACTGTAGGATACATGCTACTTTAAAAAAGCTGTTAGGTAATCATGTGATTTTTGTTGTTGTTTTTGTTGTATAGGTTGGTTGGTTGACACCACGGGGACTTACACAGCGACATTCTTTTTGAGTGGGTTCGCCCTGATCGCAAGCTCTCTCCTGCTGTTCTCAGTTGCCGTCATTCGGCATTGCTGGAGAAACCGAAAGAACAGCCTGAGCAAAGACCCAAAACTGATGTCATTTGAAGGCAAACAAGTGGACTATTATAGTTCTAAAAATAAAGACTTGATGACAATTTTACCAGCAACTTCATAGCGTTGGAAAAACATTTTTTTTCTTTCTTTTTTTAAATGTCTTATTTCTTTGTTTAATCAATTTAATGAAATACTGTTAGATATCTATGAAATGAAATTTTATGAAATACTGTTAGACTCTATTAATGTATAGAGTCATTCATAATGTTTAAATGAGAAAAGACGTGTTTGTGTATAAAAGTTTTCTCATGCCTTTTGTTGACTTATTGTTCAAAAGCATTTATTCTCATCTACAGTCGCAAGCTTTAAAGAAAGTGGGTTTCAACACAAGACTTACATTATATGTATTTTCGTTATGTCTCATATTTTAGAATAAAATCTGTGGACATAGAATTACAAATGTAGGATTTTATACTTGAAGCTCCAGTTGCAGTATGTTATTTAAGTCAGTAGAGGACAGTGCTGAACCCTAGATATCTGGACAGTCTGAGCTGCTGTATAATTCAGATATCAAGGGTAGTACATTTCCCTTGTTCTGCAAATGGTTTGTAAAGATCTGATATTTTTTTTCAGCAATGCCTTTTTTATGATCATGACCTTGCTACAACTAAGCAGTTCTTTAACGTTTTTTTTTTTTTTTGGATAACAAATGAGTTTCTTGCGACTTATGCAAGAGATTGAAGATATAATGGATGCTACTAAGGCATGGGACTAATGTGGATTATTAGGAACACCTGTTCAATTTCTCATTAATGCAATTATCTAATCAACCAATCACATGGCAGTTGTTTCAATGTATTTAGGGGTGTGGTCCTGGTCAAGACAATCTCCTGAACTCCAAACTGATTATCAGAATGGGAAAGAAAGGTAATTTAAGCAATTTTTAGCATTGCATGGTTGTTGGTGCAAGAAGGACCGGTCTGAGTATTTCACAATCTGCTCAGTTACTGGGATTTTCACGCACAACCGTTTCTAGGGTTTACAAAGAATGGTGTGAAAAGGGAAAAACATCCAGTATGCGGCAGTCCTGTAAGCGAAAATGCCTAGAGCAGTGTTTCCCAACCCTGTTCCTGGCGGCACACCAACACTGCGCGTATTCTTTGTCTCCCTTATCAAACACACCTGATTCAACTCATCAGCTCATAATAACATGGGTTAATGAGCTGATGAGTTGAATCAGGTGTGCTTGATTAGGGAGACAAAGAATACACGCAGTGTTGGTGTCCCGCCAGGAACAGGGTTGGGAAACACTGGCCTAGAGGTTAGAGGAGAATGGCACAACCTTGAGGCGGATGGGCTACAACAGGGGAAGACCCCATCGGGTACCACTCATCTCCACTACAAATAGGAAAAAGAGGTTACAATTTGCAAGAGGTCACCAAAATTGGACAACTGAAGACTGGAAAAATGTTGCCTGGTCTGATGAGTCTCAATTTCTGTTGAGACATTCAGATGGTAGAGTCAGAATTTGGCATAAACAGAATGAGAACATGGATCCATCATGTCTTGTTACCACTGTGCAGGCTCGTGGTGGTGGTTTAAAGGGCACCAATTATGCCCCTTTTTACAAGATGTAATATTGGTCTTGGGTGTCCCCAGAATGTATTTGTGAAGTTTCAGCACAAAATATCCCACAGTTAATTTATTATAACCATTTGAATATGTCATTTTTGGGGCCTGTTTTAAAATAGGCTGTTTTGGTGTATACAACCTTAAATGCAAATGAGGTGCATATTCCCACCCTGTCTTTGGATGAGGGCGTCACTTGCAGACCTATGGCAGACAGTCGGTAAGCAGAAGGGCTGAGAGAGTGGGAGACCCTCTGTTTTGTATGTCATTCAGCCTTACATGTTTGAATCGGAATATAAAAATAGTCTCTGATCAGACCCAGATGAAGAAGAGACTCCGGCAGAATATAGTTTACATTTTTTTGAAACTACAAACACATACTGTGATAAAGTTTGATAGGTACAAGTGAAATTACATTTATTCGAGGGACCTGTTGCGTCATGTTTACTTTTCATTCAGGTGTGGCAAATATGAGAAGATGGCTAACTTACAGAGCAAGTTATGCAGTTTTTAATACAATATCTTTAATATATATATATATATATATATATATATATATATATATTTATTTATAAACGTGTGGTTACACACTATACAAACAAGGTTTAAATTATATACACAGACATCCTACGACAACAACAACTTTAGACGCATTTGTTGTTGAATTGGCTGACATCGACTGAAATGACTATTTGCCCAAAAATCATAAAATACACTTACTGGAGGTGACGTTGAATCGCAAGACTTTGAACTTAACTTTGAAGCAAGACCTGCTTTGAATTGACCCTCGTTCACAAAACAGTCAGTCAGAAAATGATTCGCTCAAACTTAATTATGAAGGAAAGGCGCCACTTAAACTTCCAAAACACAATACATCCCCTGTGTTTTCAGTGGCTCTGATTTCAGAAATAAGTGAAAACTACTATGTATGTCATTATCCCATCCCACAACAGAACACTTATGTTTCCAAGAGACATTACTGGTTGTTGTTGTTGAAACAATGGAGGATATACAGATCACGAGGGCGGGGTCTATGCCACAACCACACTGTCAATCAAACCCCTTGCTCAATTCTACGTAACAAAGCTCTGAATCTTAGAACAGCTCGTTCTGAACAGTGCATATGATTTATTGAGATTGTAAAAAAAAACAGTGGGTGGAAAAAAACAGTTTTGCTCACACACTGCCAACACACATTTATGTTCAAACACCATGTAAAAGTGAATTTTGCATAATAGGTGCCCTTTAATGGTGTGGGGGATGTTTTCTTGGCACACTTTAGGCCCCTTAAAGGGCACCTATTATGCCCCTTTTTACAAGATGTAACATTGGTCTCTGGTGTCCCTAGAATGTATTTGTGAAGTTTCAGCTCAAAATACCCCACAGTTAATTTATTATAACCATTTGAAAATGTCATTTTGGGGCCTGCTTAAAAATGAGCTGTTTCGGGGGTATACGGCTTTAAATGCAAATGAGATACATATCCCCGCCCTGCCTTTGAATGAGGGCGTAACTTGATACCAATGGCAGTCGGTACTGAGAGAGTGAGGGAAAGAAACCGCTGTTTTGAATGTTATTCAGCGTACGTTTGAATCAGAATATATAAATAGTACGAAGAGACTCCGGCAGAATAAACACAAATGAGAATGGACCAGTACGTCTCGGTATGGTTATTTGATACATTTATGTACTTATAGCGTTGTAATCGCGTCCCCTTTGAAATGATGGGCATGTGCAACACACACAGACACACATAAACACTAATGCTGGCGCAATTTTTTAAATTACATAAACATACGGTGATAAAGTTTGCTACGTACAAGCGAAATTACATTTATGCGAGGGACCTGTGGCGTCATGTTTACTTGTCATACGGGTGCTTCTGTGGAAAATGTGAAGATGCTGCATGCGGAGCTGACGCGCTCTTGGAAGGCTCCTTTGTCCTCTCGAGAGCGCGCTCTAGTCTCCCCCGCCTTTCCTCCCCTCGACGGTGGGGCCGCCCGTGGGTACACTGGGATGCCCCCGGTGGAGCGCTCTGTTGCGATGCAGCTGTGTCCACAGAGCGCCTCCTCCCATGGTACTCCTAAGCACCCATCCAAAGCCTGTAGGTTCTCGTCTGCTTTGGCGGCGCGTTCCTATAGAGCGGCGGGACAGGCGGCCACCGCCATGCATGCGATGAGCACTTTGCAGGTCTTCCAAGCCAAACTGCTCAGAGATATGCACGAGGGCGGGACTGACCAAACGGCCTTCAACGAACTGCAAGCCGCCACAGACCTTGCTCTCCGGGCAACAAAGGTGGCCGCTCGCGCCGTTGGTCAGGTGATGGCCATTAACGTGGTCCAGGAGCGCCATCTCTGGCTTAACCTCGCAGATACACGGGATGTCGAGCGGACTCGTCTGCTCGACGCCCCGTTATCTCAGGTTGGCCTTTTCGGCGGTGCAGTCGAGGACTTTGCCCAGCAGTTCTCGACTGCCCAGAAGCAGACGGAGGCGATCAAACATATTCTGTCCCGGTGGCCAGCTGCTGCCTACACCCAGCCGCCGGTACAGACGCCTCCCCCTGCTCGCCGCCGAGGACGTCCCCCTGCGGCTCCCCTCCCTCCCACGCGGCCCCAGCAGCAGCCTTCACGCGGGCCGCGGCGCGGAGGAGGCCGCAGGCAGGAGGCCCCTCAGGCCGCACGCCCCGCTAAACGCCAGGCTAAGCGACGTTCCTGACACAGGCTGCCCCCTCCTTCCCCCGGTGGAGGGCCGGGGGAGAAACTTTTGTTTTCAACCCCCTCCGCTGCTCACCCAAGGGTGGGCAGCACCCTGAGTTGGTTAAAGAAAGACTTGACATCATCACTGAGCACACAGACAGGAATGAGTGCCCTCGACGTCCCCGTGCGTCAGCCCACTCATTCCTCTCTGTCTCTGAGGGTGCGGAAGGCAGCGTGTGTCGTCCCCGGACTACGCCACTCCCTTCCCAATCTATCGCCAAACCCCCGGCAGAACAGACCCCCGTGGAATGCTGGTCCTTCCCTGGTCTCTTCTGTCGGGAAGCGGGCTTCCACTGTGCATCTGGGCGGGGTAACTCCTGCGCACATGCCAGTCGACCCGCCTCGCTGCCCCTCCGGGGGGACGTCTGTGGTTCGCATGACCCCGCTGGTTCATTTCCTGGAGGCTTGGCTAGAGCTTCCCGGGCTGTCCCGCTGGGTCATCAGAACGATCAGATTCGGCTACGCGATTCAGTTCGCACGGTCTCCTCCCCGTTTCAGGGGAGTTCGCTCCACGATGGTCGGTGGCAATGCCCCGGTCATGAGAGCGGAGATTGCCACCCTTCTGGCGAAGGGTGCAATCGAGACGGTCCCTCCAGCCGAGATGAGGTCCGGGTTTTACAGCCCCTACTTCATTGTCCCCAAGAAGACCGGTGGGTTACGACCGATCCTGGACCTGCGCATTTTGAACCGTGCTCTTCATCGACTACCGTTCAAAATGCTCACAGCCAAACGCATTTTCGAATGCGTTCGGCCTCAGGATTGGTTTGCAGCGATCGACCTGAAGGACGCGTACTTTCATGTCTCCATTTTGCCTCGACACAGACCGTTTCTTCGGTTTGCTTTCGAGGGCCAGGCATATCAGTACACAGTTCTCCCATTCGGGTTAGCTCTATCCCCTCGCGTCTTCACGAAGATCATCGAGGCAGCCCTTGTTCCCCTTCGCAAACACGGGGTTCGCATCCTGAACTATCTCGACGACTGGCTGATACTGGCACACTCTCGAGAACAGGTTTGCGAACACAGAGACCTGGTGCTCCGGCACCTAGCCCGTCTGGGCCTTCGGGTCAACCAGGAA